GGGGCCAGACGCCGATGCAGTGCGTTCTCTGGAGACAGCCCGCCCCGGGGGCTGCAGGAGTCCCATGGCACTGCCGGCCAGGAGCCAGGTGCCTGCTCTCAAAAACCACCTGTCTCCCCTGGGCTGGACCTCAAGAGTCTCAAAGCTCCAGCTCTCCAGCGTGTTAAAAAGTTTGCTTACAGCTGAGCAAGAGCTGGGGCGTGAGGAGGGAGCCTCAGGATGCGGGTCGCACCCACTGCCCTGTGAGCTCGGGCGGCCAGCAGGAGGATGGACACTCTGCGTCCGGCAAGTGGGCAGGAGGGGAGAAGGATCCAAGTCCCAATCTCACAGGCTGAGGATGCAGAGCCAAGGACATTTGGAGGAAGCCAAATTTAAAAGGCTCAAAGCAGCCTTTCTCCTTCAAGCATGACTGCAGGCAGGGTCACCTGCCCACTTTTGTTTGGCTCTTTGCATCTGAGTCTCTGCCAGAGGGTGGAGCTGGTTTTAAACATAAGCCAAGAGGCTTAGGAATCAGCTTCTTCTTTGAACATGCCCGAGAAGCCGCAGCTGAGCAGAGACTGGACTCTTCTGGCCCTGAGGTAGGGCAGTAAGACCTTCGTCCACTTGTCAGACCAAATGGGCCAGGTGTCCACAGTGCACCCACTCAGTGAACGTGCCCAGGTGATGGGGAGGAGGTGACAGAGCTGTCCCAGGTGCTGCCACCTTCAGCCCAACTTCAAAAGGTCTGTGGGGCTCCTGGGGGCAGGTGTGGGGTGTTGAGTGGAGCCGACCGTGGGTATTATGCTGTGGGACCAGCTGCCCAGGGAGGGGACGGACGGAGGACCAGTCATCTCCTTGTTCTGCCCACACAGGCCAAGGGATCCATAAATGCTGGGACGTCCTCCTAGAACATAGGGAGTGGGTTCTAAGGCCGGGGGACCCATAAATGCTGGGACACCCTCCTAGAACATGTGGAGTGGCTTCTCCATCAACGGGCACAAGCGTGGGGACTGGAGGAGCCTGGGCTACAACCTGGGAGACACGGATAGATGCTGAGCCTGAGAATGATTTATTCTGTGCAATGTCTGGTAAGTACAGGTATTCATGCTGCTTCCTTAAAAATAAAAAAACAGTGCAGTGCGTGGAGAGTGTGAAGGTACTCACACTGCCGCCTCCCGGGACGTGTTTGATATTGTCCTTTGAGCCACACTTGGACTGGACGTTGCTAAGATCCAGCTTCTTATTAATTATCTGCACCTTTGATAGCCAGAAAACAGGATGAGTGACACAGCACACCCAGATCTGTCCCTGTCCCTCTGCGCTGACACACTCTGCCCTCTGTGTTGACAGGGAGGGGCCCCATGGGAGGGCTCCACCTGCAGAGGTGTCTGGGGTGGCAGGAGGTCTGAGTCCTGCCTCCAGAGGGTGGCTGAAGGGACTGATGTTCGGGATGAGGAGGGAGGGAAGGGCTGCCCATGAAGCATCCCAGAATCGTGCGTGACTGGCAGTGGGCCCCACGTTACGACACTGGGACTGCACAGCAGAGCCTTAGGGGGCAGTTGCTCCCTTTATAAAAACGACCGCGCCACCAGGTCCTCAGAAAGCGCATCTGAAGCCTGTCAACCAGGGCCACGGGCTCGCCAGCTTGGGGTGGAGGGAAAGCGCGCTCATCAATGCGTCATCAATGCCCGTGATCAATCAATGAAGCGTCCCCTGTCTTCATTCACACCCCACCAGACC